ACTTATGAATTACCAAAGTTGAACGAAGAAGATAAAAACATTTTAAACACCCCAATCACAATCAGTGAAATTGAAAATGTAATTAAAAACTTACCAACAAAGAAAAGCCCAGGCCCTGATGGATTCACTGCTGAATTTTACAAGACATTTAGAGAAGAACTACTACCATTACTCTTCAAACTTTTCAATGAAATTGAAAGGGAAGCTATACTTCCAAATTCATTCCTGGAAGCAAGTATCACTTTGATTCCCAAACCAGGGAAAGATACAATCAAAAAAGAACTACAGACCAATCTCCTAAATGAATATAGATGCAAAAATCCTTAATAAGATACTAGCAAACAGAATACAGAGGATTATTGAGAAGATCATCCATCATGACCAAGTCGGATTTATTCCAGCGATGCAAGGGTGGTTCAACATACCAAAGTCAGTAAATGTAATACATTATATTAACAAAGTCAAGGATAAAAACCATATGATCCTCTCAATAGATGCAGAAAAAGCATTTGATAAAATTCAACACCGATTCATGATAAAAAACCTGCAAAAAATTGGAATAGATGGTCTACACCTCAATTTTATAAAGGCTATCTATGAAAAACCATCAGCCAACATCATATTGAATGGCCAAAAACTGAAAACCTTCATGTTAAAATCAGGAACAAGACAAGGATGCCCATTATCACCACTTCTCTTCAATATAGTTCTGGAAACATTAGCCACAGCAATTAGACAAGAGAAAGAAATTAAAGCAATAAAGATAGGAAAGGAAGAAGTTAAACTATCATTATTTGCTGATGATATGATACTCTACATTGAAGATCCAAAAAACTCCACCAAAAAACTTCTAGACTTAATTGACAGATTCAGTAAAGTATCTGGATACAAGGTGAATACCCAAAAATCAATAGCCTTTCTATACACAAATAACAGACAGACAGAAAGAGAAATAAGGGAAAAAATTCCTTTTACAATAGCATCCAAAAAAATGAAGTATCTAGGAATCAATCTAACAAAAGAAACAAAAGATCTCTACACTGAAAACTACAGCACTCTGAAAAAAGAAATCGAAGAGGATATAAAAAAATGGAAAGATATCCCCTGCTCCTGGGTAGGAAGAATCAACATAGTGAAAATGGCCATACTACCAAAACTGCTATATACATTCAATGCAATGCCAATTGAAATTCCAACACTATATTTCACAGAACTAGAAAAAAGAATCCAAAAATTCATTTGGAACCACAAGAGACCTAGAATAGCAAAAGCCATTATAGGCAACAGTCACATGGCACCAGGTGTAACAATTCCCAATTTGAAACTATACTACAAAGCCACTGTGATAAAAACAGCATGGTACTGGCAAAGAAATAGGCCTGAGGATCAATGGAACAGACTGGAAGACACAAAAACAAATGCAGATGTACTCAGCTACCTCATCTTCGACAAAGGAGCTCACCATCCTCAGTGGAGGAAAGATAGCCTCTTTAATAAATGGTGTTGGAAAAACTGGATATCAACCTGTCACAGATTAAAATTAGACCCTTATCTTTCGCCATGCACTAAATTAAAATCCAAATGGATTAAAGATCTAAATATTAAAACAGAAACATTAAACTTGCTGGAAAGTAAGTTAGGCAGAACTCTGGAAGACATTGGTATAGGAAAAGACTTTATGAACAAATCCTCAGTAGCACGGGAACTAGCAGAAAGAATCAACAACTGGGATCTCATCTTACTAAAAAGCTTCTGTACTTCAAAAGAAACCATTAGCAGAACTAAGAGACAATCTACAATGTGGGAAAAAATTTTTACCAGCTGTACCTCAGACAAAGGACTATTATCAAGGATATATAAAGAACTCAAAACAATCAGTCCCCCCAAATATAAAGACCCGATCCAAAAATGGGCATCCGAAATGAACAGACATTTCTCATACAAAGAAGTGAAAGCAGCAAGAAAATATATGAAAAAATGTTCCACATCACTGGTCATTCGAGAGATGCAGATGAAAACAACACTAAGATTCCACCTCACCCCACAAAGAATGGCTGCTATCAAGAAATCACACAATAACAAATGTTGGCGGGGTTGCGGGGAGAAAGGAACCCTCCTCCATTGTTGGTGGGAGTGCAGACTAGTGCAACCACTATGGAAATCAATATGGAGATACCTCAAAGAGCTTGGACTGGAGGTTCCATTTGACCCAGCCATCCCTCTGCTGGGTATCTTTCCAAGAGAACTAAAAGAATCATATCACAGAGAAGTATGTGCACCCATGTTTATAGCGGCACAGTTTGTAATAGCTAAATCTTGGAAACAGCGTATTTGCCCATCCGTTGGAAACTGGATAAAGAAGTTGTGGTTTTTCTATAAAATGGACTCTCAGCCATAAAGAGCGAGAGAATAGATTCATTCATAGGAAAATGGATACATATTGAAGATATACTCCTAAGTGAAATAAATAAGTCACACATGTGTAAATACCAAATAGTTTCCCTGGTGTGAATATTCTGCCACAATGCATAAGATTCTAATAAGATTACTGACATTTAGAAATTGGAAGAAAGGAGCTAAAGGTGTAGGGAAGGTGTGATGCGTAGGGGAAGAACAAAAAGGGAAAAGAAAAAAATGTGAGAGAATGAAAAGATGAAAACAAAGTGTTTGTAGATGGGGAGGGGAGGAGGGGGTGAAGGGAGGGCAGAGGTAAGGGGAAAAAATGAGAATCAAGACTTGCCATGTAGAGGTACATGATCCCAACAATGAATGCAACTGTACTGTATCCCTAAAATGTACCAATAAACTCAATAAAATTAAAAAAAAATCCAACTAAGATACAACAGAGGCCATGTAAGGTATAATTCAACTTACTAATATTCTATGTTAAGATTTCTTAATACACAGTTATTTGAAACATTTTTTACAATGAGTTTCTTTTGCTCAACAACCCAAGCCATTGCTTCCTTCCTACCAGTTTTTTCCCCCCTAGTGCTGAGAATTAAACTTAAGGCCTTGTACATGGTAAGCATGCACTCTACCATTGAGCTGTATCTCCAGCCACTAGTTTTCCTAGAAGAATTATCTTACCTCTGCTCCGGAGTATGTATGGGTTTGGAGGATGAGTTCTTCTAGGTCCACCTCACTACTAATTGGCATAGAGTGAAACTGCAGGTTAAATATTTCTCTTCTTGTTGCTGCATCTGGTAAAGGTACATAGATGATTCTGTCTATTCTTCCAGGCCGCATCAAAGCCTATCAAGAGTAAAAACAAGGAAGGAAACAATGAAGAGAAGAGTGAAAATCAATAAAATGGAAAATATGAGAAAAGCAACAAAGTCAAAAGGGATTTTCTGGAAAGATTAAGCAAAAAAACAAAAAAAAAAGATTAAGCAAAATAAATCTACCTAAACTTGACAAAGAGACTTAAAAATAACATCAGAAATCAAAGGGTTATCATTACAGATAGTGATAGGATAACAAGAGACTGATCAATTTCATGACAATAAATTTAGCAACTCTGATAGAAGTCCTTGAAAATACAGTTAGCAAAACTGATACAAAATGAAACCAAAAGTTCATTTATTTTTTTTAGAAACTGAATTGAATTTATTAAAAAAAAAATATATCAAGAAACTCCAAGTATAAATGGTTTCACTTCTGGATTTTGCCAAAGAGTAACATTGAAATTTTACATATAATCATTTCAGAACATATCAACAGAATTACTTCTCAAGTTGTGTTTAAAGTTGGCATATTAACTGTAAAACCTGACAACGATATTAGAAATACTGAAAATTACAGACTAATGACCCTCATGTATATAGATAAAAAGTTCCTTTAAAAATAGTGGCAAATAGAATTTAAAAACATATAAAATGGATAAAACATCCAAACCAAGTAAGGGTTATTTTAAGACTACAAGGTTGGTTTAACATGCAAAATCTAATCATAGTGTCATCACTATATTAAGAGAATAAAGTATAAAAACAATATGATCATCTAAATATGTGCAGAAAAAAGACCTGACAGAATTCAAGATCCGCTCATGATAAAAAAGATTCTCAGCAGACTATGAATAGAAGATAATTTCTTCAATAATGATAAACTGAAGATACTAAAAACCTACAGCTAAAATTAAGCTTCATGTTGAAATACTGAATGTTTTCTAAGATCAAGAACAAGGTAAAAAACTCATCTCTTCCACTGAACATTCCTACAGAGATACTAGACTTCGTACCAAACCAAAGAATAGAATGGCATATGGTGAAAACAGAACATAGAAGGTGAAAAAATCAGAAGACATGACTGTTTCTGCAGAAATTCTAAGGAATCTATAAAACAATGTCTAGCAAGACCACATGATACAAATTTAATATTAAAAATTAACTGCTTATATATACACTAAGCAGCAAAAATTCACTTTATGGAAACATTAAAAAGCACAAAACATAAACTTGGGAATGAAATTAACCAAAGAATTCTTCACACCATATGAAGGAACTATATAGTGAATTCTGAGTAGATAAGAGATTTTAAAAAAACTAGAGGTGCTTAAGAAAGGCATGCAAAAAAAAAAAAAAAAAAACCAGTCAAAGACAGCTTGGAGTATTTTAAGCCCCAAAAGAAAACAATCTGCGGGCTGGGGATTTAGCTCAGTGGTTCTGCCGCCTGCCTGGCAAGCGCAAGGTCCCAAGTTTGATCCCCAGTATTAAACAACGACAACAACAATAACAAAACACCCCAAAACCAAAAAAAAAAAAACAAAAGAACCACAAAACCCTCCAACCCAGATTGATGTATTCCACAAGATTATCTTTCAAATCAATGGAGAAATAATGTACTTCCATGATAAAGAACACCTGAAGAAATTCATGACCACAAACCCACCACTCCAAAAAGTTCTGAAGGATATTCTACAAAAAGACAATTTCAAGAATCCCAATAGAATGAACACACCAGGCAAGGTAAGCAATTAAACAGAAGGGAAAAAAAGGGAACCAACAATAGGAAAATAATATGACAAGGATGAAGTCAATACATATTAGTTATAAGCATCAATATAAATGGTCTCAATTCGGTAATAAAAACAAACAGATTGGTGGAATGGATCAAGAAGGTACATCTAGGGCCACGGATTTAGCTCAGTGGTGCTGCTGCCTGCCTCACAAGCACAAGGTCCCAAGTTTGATCTCTATATCAAAAAATAAAAAATATAAAAAGAAGCAATAGCTAACAATAAGTTGCATACAAGAAACACACTTAACTCAAAAAGAAATTCACAGACTGAAAGTCAAAAGATGGAAAACAATGTTCCATGTGACAGGGATCCAGAAAAAAGCAGCGGCAGCTATTTTGTTTGCAGACAAAATAGATTTCAAGCTAAGACTATTCAAAAGAGACAAAGAAGATCACTATGTACTTGTTAAGGGAATAATCCAACAGGAAGAGATGACAATCATAAATGTATATATGCACCAAATACTGGCACACCCAACTATATAAAAACAAACATTAATGGATGTGAAAAATCAGTTAAGCACTAATGCAATCGTACTGGGGACTTCAATACCCCACTAACACAAATAGATCAACCAGACAAAAATCAACAAAAATATCAGAGCTGAACCACACCTTTAAACAAATGGACTTAGTAGATATCAATAGTGGTACAGTCACCAACAGAATATACATTTTTCTCAGCAGCACATGGGACTTTCTCCAAAAAGACCACATACTAGCTCATAGAACATCCTTAAGTAAATGCAAAGGAATTGAAGTTATCTTGTGCATATTATCAGATAATACTGCAACGAAGTTGGAAATCAATTGTTAAAAGAAAGCACAAAAGCTTCATAAACACATGGAAATTAAGTAACACTCTCCTGAACAACCAATGGCTTACAGATGAGATTAAAGAAGAAATTTGACAGTTCCTACAATTAAATGATAATGCCAGTATGGGGATAATAATGCCAGTTTGAGAATTTGCACTCTAATAAGTTGGAAAACATGAAATGGACACATTTCTAGATTATGAATTACCAAAGCTGAATAAGAAGATCTAAAAGGCCAGGCCCTGATGGATTCAATAAATTCTATAAGAACTTCAGAGAAGATCTAATACCATTACTTCCTCAAATTCTTTAATGAAATTAAAAAGGAGCCAATACTCCTAAATTCATCCCTGGAATCAAGTATTACCCTGATACCTAAATCACAGAAGGATCCAACAAAAAAGAGACTAATAGGACAATCTCCATAATGAACACAGATGTAATAATCCTTAATACTGGCAAACGGAATGCAGTAAGTCATTGAAAAGATTATATAGCATGACCAAATAGGATTCATTCGAGGGATGCATGGATGGTTTAACATATGCAAATAAATAAATGTACTATACCACATTAAAAGAATTAAGGACAAAAACCACATGAGACAGAAAAAGCATTTGACAATGCCCAATATCCATTCACAATAAAATCCCTAAGAAAACTGGAATAGAAAGTCTTTATTTCAATCTAATAAAAGCTATCTATGACAAACCAACAGCCAATATCATACTAAATGGTCAAAAATTGAAAAATTTCACTCTAAAATCTGGAATAAGACAAGGATGCCCACTATCACCACTCTTGTTCAATACAGTTCTGGAAACATTAGTTTGAGCAACTAGACAAGAGAAAGAAATAGAAAGAAGTTAAATAATCATTGTTTGTAAATGACATGATAGTCTTCATAGAATATCTCCAAAACTCTATCAAGACTCCTAGAATTAATAAGCAAATTTAGCAGCATAGCAGGATACAAGATGAACACTCAAAAATCAATAGTATTCATGTACACAAATAATAAACTCGCTGAGAGAGAAATTTGGGAAACCACACTTTTCATAACAGTATCAGGTTAAACAAATACTTAGGGATCACTCTAAAAAATCAGACCCCCAAATTTAAAGAACCAACCCAAAATAGGGCATCTGAAATAGACATTTCTCAGATGAGGTACAAACAGCAAATAAATAAATGAAAAAAATGCTCAGCATCACTGGTCATTTGAGAAATGCGAATTAAAACAACACTGAGATTCCATTTCACTCCAGAAAGAATGGCTTAGCACCAAGAAATCAACCGGTAACAAATCCTGTTGAGGCTGTAGGAAAAAAGAAAAGTTCTCCCTTGCTGGAAGTGTAAACTGATACAACTACGATGGAAATCAGTATGGAGATTCTTAAAACACTAAAACTAGAGGTTCCACTTCACCCAGTTCTTCCCCTTCTAGGTATCTTCCGGAAAGAGTTTAAAAGCATCATACCACATTGATACATGCATACCCATGCTTACAGCAGCATAATTTATAATGGAAAATTTGTAATTGGAAACAGCCCATACGCCTATGGAAAGATGAATGGATAAAGAAAATGTGGTATTTATATACAGTGGAGTACTACTCTGCCATAAAGAAGGAAAAACTTGAGTAATATCTAAGTGAATACACCTCGAGACCATAATCATAAATGAAATAACTCAGATACACAACTTTAAATAACGCATTGTTTCTCTTGTGTGAGAAACTCAAAGGGTAAGTAAGGAGCATAATGGAAGACAGATACTAGATGTAGGAAGAACATGTTCAAATAGGAAGGGGAACAAGGAAGGGAGAAGGGATAGGGGAAAGGGAAGGAAGGGAAAAAGAAATAAAACAGAATGGAAGAAAAAATGGAAACAAAGATTTTATAAATGAAGAGAAGAAAGGTTGAAGTGAGGGGAGAGGAATGGGGGAAAAAGAATTAAGAATGTGATCAATATATATGACAAATATATACTAACAAAAAGTCATATTAAAAAAACTATCTGTTTAAACTAACACACACACACAAAAGGCAGCACTTTAATCAGAGAGGTCCAGGTGTCACTGACAAGAATTCCCCCTCAAACATTATATATACAAAAAACATTCTCACATAACTTCACAAATAATTCCAGGGATTTCACCCTGGATGTGTCCCAGAAGAAGACTTACTGTAGCAGATGATCCTTTTTTTTTTTTTTTTTTTCCTTCCAAGTGCTATGGGTAGAACCTAAGGTTTTATGCATACTAGAAAATAATTTGCTCTTTTAAATAGGCCTTCCAGTCCCCAGTTTGTTAAATGCCGTATTGTATCCCCTGCTATTTTAACCCAGTAAAATGACCATAACTTACATGGTATGATCATTACTGAAAACATGTTCTTTACAAAACTAATAGTCTTC